CTGGGATGATTGTCAAATGTTGACGAATACACCACCTACAAAACAAGGATTCGAAAAATGCGGATCAAACGAAACTTTGATTGCAATCATGGCCTTATTGAAAAAGATAATCGTGTTAGATGTGCAATATGAATAAAAACACTTTTTTATATATTTTATATATGTTCATACTTGTTACTGTTGGTTTCGTTGTCACCTCCATTGCCATATCTTTGACAACATGACGTTTTCCTCCATAGATGTCACCGAAAAAATAGATGATGATAACTTTTTACATAATGATTGAAATGGTCTTCGTGAATATTTTTCGTATTTTTCCCGCGGTAGATATGTTTTTAAAAACCTGGATATACTCTGGGTATTCTCATATTTTTTCGTTAATTTTTTTTTTGTAGTTCTGAAATTCAAGCCTTGCTGAGTTGTAAATATTAATAACATTTTAAAACCAGAAAGCAATAGTTGATCCATGGACATTTAAAACTAACTAACGGCCCTTGACTATAACGGTAAGGCCATAACTGTAATGTGGTAATTTATTTCTCCCTTACAAAACAACCAAATGGGAAAATTCAATGTCTTTTGCAAACGAACATTTATAGATTTATGCAATATTTAATGCATTAACTTATCAAATAAAACTGCAAACGATGTTATTAATCGTTTACATTAACAAATCATCTGTAGTGAGCATCACCAGGTTTAATCGTGTTAATACTGATTAGTGCTTTCATCACAAAAGTTTTGTTCATTATCATTCACATTGACGCACGTATTTAATTCAAAACAGTAAAATATACTTAACATGATAATGCCCTTTGTAAATGCTGAAAATATTTTACCAACAAATTCCATATCTTCATATGAATTGATCCAGGGTCTCTGTAGCTGTGTATAGGTGATTGGGTCAGCTCAAAATATTATGTGGTTGCTATGGATACTCACGCCATTCGATGTGCATAAATATAGTCGATTTCCAAATGCTAAAAGGTTGAGTGGTCGCTTTCAACGAAATGCTATTTGGTGTACAATAGAACAGATCGATTTTATAAAACTCCTTTTGTAAATTATATCGCTAAAAGAATTAAAGACCAACAAGTATTTGGAAAGCGTTTCAACTAATTTGGAAATGAATTCAAGCAGATGGCACCTTTTCGTGATATTAAACCATAATTATTCATCAATGTATTTGCATCACAAACTTGCTAACTACTGTACCAAACTGTGGAATATGCTTGCAAACGCACCGGTTCGAGGAAGAACAGAACATGCTGCGTATTATCATAAGAGGCGTCTGAAATGGGTCTATTGGAATGGAGGGTTCCAGGGTTTTTCTCCTTGTCTTATGCATGAAGGATATTGAGGAATACAAGCCCGAATTGGAGCACCTTGGACCTCTATTCTTTATCTTTTATCTTACATACCCCACCCGTCTTTCATTTCGGCGATGTTTCTTAACGGCAACAGTCGTCAAAAGACTTCGGTTGTTCCTAGGTTAGAAGCATCTGAACGGAAAAGACCAGACTATGTTTTTCGCACTTTTAAGAGATCTAAGTCAATTGCTTGTTATTTTTAAGAAATTTACCAAAATTTATTACAATATTACATATAATATATAATTTTACAATAACATAATTTTACAATAACATAATTTTACAATAGCCTGCAAATGTTTTATCATGGCGGTACACACAAATGATCGATGCAAAAGAGAGAGGCCTCCCGAAAGGGAATAGTTCCATAATGGTGTAGTTAAACGACGAAAAAAGACGTTTAATATGCTTTTTGGTAGAATGATATTCCACGACTCTTGACAAATGTTTTTCATAGTTGCCACAATCGAAATTTGAAAATAAGATAACTCGAGTTAAGAAAAATGTAAACAATCATCACTCAATATTGAATACATATATATATATAGCAGCTACTATGTAAATATATTCTTTGTCCTATAAAGAAAATACATTATACAACCTATAAAAGGAAATTAATGACATACCTGCACACATGTGATGATATTTAATTCATTTGCTTGATGGAAAACGATCAATCCCATATTGCAAACATAGGTATATACATGTATATACAACAAGAATTTGCTTTTGATAATATGACACTACGTTATGACATCTTTAAAAGTTTTGTTTTAATTTTCAGTCAATACTATTCATTATATGTGTTGGCAAACCTGAAACGTAAATATAAGGAATGAACGTTTATCAGATCATAGTGTTTCGTTAAAATATCGTCGGATTTTCACTGTAACCAAAGGCTCAAATCCCATACAACTCAAATCTCTCAAACGTTTACAGCACCAGTGATATATGTTAATCACATGAAATACCCGTTCTAAATTACTCAACGCTACACGTAAAAAAGAAAACAAGATTAGAAAGTTATGAGTGCGGCTCTAGGTAATAATCCTGTTTTACTGCGCGAGTGTATGTGTCGATTGAGTCATTTTCTGGTTTCGTAGATTTGGGGTTCCCTAGACACGCCGTCCCTTTACCCGTTTTCTGCTATGTCTCCTTTTAATGATATTGTTGTATTAATGAGCCGGTAAGACGTCAATTATATTTATTTTAAAAGCATTAATAATGCTAAACCGTGTTTAGCCTACTATGCAATCCTATCTCCTTCATCATTTTATAATTGTTTCTATAAAATCACGTAACTCTTTGACCGTTTTTATAATGTTTGATCTATCACCACTTAAACTCCCCAAAGTGATTGTTTCTGACATTGAAGTGTATCTGGATTTCAACATTTAGATAATTACAAACTATGTTGATATTTATTGCACATTTGTTGAAATGCTATCGTGGTGTGTTATTTGTTTTTAAAGTTATTGCCAAGAAATCACATAATATTTCAATCCTTTTATGACAGGTCCTTTCTCGATGGTTTGTGTATGACACATTACGTTTTGATATGTTTTACTACGATCAGTCTAAAGTACTCTCGATATTAAAAGAGCACATGTTTTTCCATGTTACTTTTCGTAAAGGGATATCTAGAACATATACGCTTTTTTATTTTACAATTATTATTAAACCAGTTATTTCAACCTATATTAATCACCCTTGTTGGTGGGGTGTCTTAATGTGGGAATGAACTGGAGTATCCAGGTACAGATCAAGTGGTCCTAATATCTAGAACCTGTATTGGGCCTTGGGTAAAAAACTACTTAGTAAAGCAAACGTGCCATGTTTTTCTGGCATTATTGTTAAATATCCTTACTCTAATTGGGGAAAAGAAGGACATATATCATTCATGTTTAATCAATTTTTATGCCATGTAAATATGTATATAATTTTTAAATATTTAAAATTACCCGAAAATAAAAATGTACGATCGTATTAATGTATGGGTCAGTGTGTGGTTCCAGTAGAGTTTTGGTTACAGATATGTTTTAGTATCCTGTGCTGGAGGGCATATCGAATAAACCAAAAGTGGTCGTTTGAACCAATAATAATGTAATTTTTATATCTGGAGACTTAAGGAATTGAAAAAAACAATTAAGGTAGCAAATGTTCGAATATTTGTGCACAACATGTATATTAACGAATAATGATTCTAACAATTCGAAGAAAAAATGTTATTTCCATCTAAACAAGTACCAAATTCGAAACATATCATCTTATGCCATGACACCACATAAGAGAATACTTACTTAAAACTACAAATATTGTGCTTATCATGTGAATTCTAAGTTATTCCATTGTTAATTAAGATCGAATACATTGGTTCTACACCCAAATATAAAAAATGGCAATTACACCAAATGCAGCGTTCATTTCTTCGAACTCAATAAAATTGGAATAATCCACCGAAGACAAATTTCATCTTCTCTTTTAAATATCTAATAATTGATCGAGATATTCTATATTGTTAAATATAGTGCTTAAATAAAATCTTTACCTATTTTACAACAATAGCGAAGCAAGCTATATCAGCTAACATAAACTCTTCTGTCGGCCCGGATGGAAGAGTGCAGATGGTTTCAATGTAGGGGAAACCAGAGTACCCATTTTAACGTCCCACTGTAGAGCTTAAAATAAAACAACAATCTTGACAAGGTTCATTAATCACAAATAAAATGAAAACGAAAATAAATTTCCGTCTATGGTATTCTGTATAAGACGAAACGTTCGTGGGTACTTTCTTTCGTGGTTTGAAGCTATTTAGATCGTTTTGTGGTACAAACTTTCGTGGATATCCTATATTAACAAATAGTAGACACGTATATAATTCATATTCGTTTTACTTATTTTCATGGTTCAATAACCACCACGAAAACCATTAATGTTAATACACAACGAAGAGTTTATGTCATACGGTAACCAAGATCTGTTGCGAATATTTCCGTGAAAGGGACATTTTTCTCAAACTGACATGGAATCTTTACCGCAAACTTTCGTGGATATCCTATATTAACAAACAGTAGACACTTACCATTCATCTTCGTTTTACTTAATTTCATGGTTCAATAGCAACCACGAAAACCATGAATGTTTATACACAACGAAGAATTTATGTCATACAGTAACCAAGATCTGTTGCAAATATTTCCGTGAAAGGGACATTTTTCTCAGACTGACATGGAATCTTTACCACAAACTTTCGTGGATATTCTATATTAAAAAATAGTAGACACGTATATCATTCATATTCGTTTTACTTATTTTCATGGTTCAATAGCAACCACGAAAACCATGAATGTTTATACACAACGAAGAGTTTATGTCATACAGTAACCAAGATCTGTTGTAAATATTTCCGTGAAAAGGACATTTTCTCGGACTGACGTGGAATCTTAACGACGATACTTTGACTCCGAACAATGTTGGTGATGGCACCAAGTAAATGACGTCATCAAGTTGTCCTATTTGCGACGTCACAATCTAAAATAATGTGCGTTAGGGATTATGACACTGATAACAGTGTAGTTATATAATAAAAGTCTGCGTGTTAATGTCATTTCCCCGTTTCCTTTGTTACAGATGCCGGACGAATCTATTGTGATATGCAGTGGGATGGATTGTCGTGCTGGCCGGCTACCCCTGGTGGTCAGTACTCCATAATAGACTGTCCCATCATGGATCGTATCGACATAACAAGTAAGTACACATATAATAACACTTGAATTCAATCTGTTTTAGCTTGTATTTATATCCGCGAGTGTTCTATCAAAATAAATGCAGGCGATCATTTCAGGTCGCAAAGGGAAAAACGACTGGAGTATGTTTCTTGTGTAATTTTTTATACGAACACATTCTGAATTGAAATCATCTTTACAGCACTAATATCTCGTGGAAAGCTGTAAATAACAGTAAATAGCCTCAATGAGAAAGTAATCTTTGCGAATAAGAATTGAAAGATTTATATAAAAAAAACAGGGAGTACTTTTACCACACAAATACAGTGGTTCCTTGAAATTTCGGGCATGTATAAGTAACATTTTAAAATGAACCTTATAAGTGCTGCATAAATGTATTAACATAAAGGTTTTATAACCTGAAACGCAAAGCGGATAAACTACTGATTAATAATGATGACGACGGAAGATCGACATTTTTTGTAAAGATCAGAATAAATGCTCAACAAATTGAAACTCTTGACTTTAAATGCTGGAATTTATTCTTGATGATATTGCCATTTGATTGGCACCTGACCTTAGGTCCCGACTAGTTTTGAATAAGCCAAACATGAGCTTTGAATCAGTATACAGCATACAATAAGCATAAGCATGGGTTTATTTAATTTCTGAAATCCTTGAAGATAAGCTGTTGCAAAAACAAATAAAAAAAAACTCAGATTTCGAGTTTCTATTTTAGCCAATGCTATCTGTTAATGTACAGTTGTATGCTATCTATGTTCTATATGTTATTTACAAGACAGACTCTTTACCATTAATACATTATGATAACGTTAAGTTAGTTCTGGTTCGTTTAGACTTACCGATTCATTATTCCATCAAACTGATAGAGGTATATATGTGAACTATTAATTATCTGATGAAGTCACACCTATTAACCATCGTCCTTTGCTGTAGAGTAACCCAATTATTGTTTGGTCCAATTCATATTTAGTGCGTTTCGATATACATATATGAACATTTTGTTATGTGTCGGATTTTCCAGTACAAATTTCATTTTCAGTGAAACGCATAAAGATAAGCAATCCTTGTAAACGCACCGTCATCACGTCTGAATTGATTCATTTTATTGAGTGGTGATCATTAGAATTGGAGGGTGAGGAACTACCAGCGGGGTGTCATATACGCGACTCTGCCGAAACCGTTGTCTATTGTAGACCTTAGCTGTTAATATAACGTTAAACAAAATTAAACCAAACCAAACCAATGTATCATTAGAAGTGAAATACTATTTAAAAATGAATTATCGATTTACCCCCAAAATATATCGGTGGAAGAATCGTTGTTCCAGATTATTTCTCAATTCAGAAAAAAAAGAATACTACCTGAGAAAATGTTACTTATTACACTGTACTACCCCTGTATCCAACGCTGAGTAAATAACACCCGGGCGCTGTGCAGGTAGATATAGATCACAGTAAGGTCGATTATAGTACATGTGCAACCACTGGACCAGTTAATCGTTTTCGGATTGTCCTTGTTGTAGCCACTGTTAAGTTTAGTCCAATATCAGAAGATAGTGAAAGATGAACGTAACACACATATGCAGTGAGTAGTATAAAGTATAAGACCACCAGTGGATCGTAGAAGCAGTCTTGCGTGATCACTCTCAGGTCTAAATCATAAGTAGCAGGGAGTGTCAGACCACCAGTGCAAAGTACCAGCAGTCTGACGTCATTACTCTCAGGACTTAAATATACAAGTGGTAGATAGTTTAAGACCACCATAAGAACGAAGTGTCAGTCTGACGTAATCACTCTCACGTCTAAATCATAAGAAGTAGCGAGAGTCACACCACCAATTGAACGTGGTAACAGTATGACGTCATCACTCTCAGGTGTAAATCATAAGTAGTAACGAGGGTGAGACCACAAGTTCAACGTAGTAGCAGTCTGACGTTATCACTCTCAGGTCTAGATCAAAATGGCAGGTAGAGTCAGACCACCAGTGCAACGTACTAGCAGTATGACGTCATCACTCTCAGGTATAGGTCATAAGTACACTAGAAGCATGTCAGACCACCAGTTGCACGTAGTTGTAGTCTGACGTCATCACTCTCAGGTCTAAATCATAAGAAGCAGCGAGGGTCAGACCACCAATTGAATGTGGTAACAGTATGACGTCATCACTCTCAGGTGTAAATCATAAGTAGTAGCGAGGGTGAGACCACAAGTTCAACGTAGTAGCAGTCTGTCGTCATCACTCTCAGGTCTAGATCAAAAGTAACAGGTAGAGTCAGACCACCAGTGTAACGTACAAGCAGTCTGACGTCATAACTCTCAGGTCTAGATCAAAAGTAACAGGTAGAGTCAGACCACCTGTGCAACGTACTAGTAGTCTGACGTCATCACTCTCAGGTCTAGATCAAAAGTAACAGGTAGAGTCAGACCACCAGTGTAACGTACTAGCAGTCTGACGTCATAACTCTCAGGTCTAGATCAAAAGTAACAGGTAGAGTCAGACCACCAGTGTAACGTACAAGCAGTCTGACGTCATAACTCTCAGGTCTAGATCAAAAGTAACAGGTAGAGTCAGACCACCTGTGCAACGTACTAGTAGTCTGACGTCATCACTCTCAGGTCTAGATCAAAAGTAACAGGTAGAGTCAGACCACCAGTGTAACGTACTAGCAGTCTGACGTCATAACTCTCAGGTCTAGATCAAAAGTAACAGGTAGAGTCAGACCACCAGTGTAACGTACAAGCAGTCTGACGTCATAACTCTCAGGTCTAGATCAAAAGTAACAGGTAGAGTCAGACCACCAGTGCAACGTACTAGTAGTCTGACGTCATAACTCTCAGGTCTAGATCAAAAGTAACAGGTAGAGTCAGACCACCAGTGTAACGTACTAGCAGTCTGACGTCATAACTCTCAGGTCTAGATCAAAAGTAACAGGTAGAGTCAGACCACCAGTGTAACGTACTAGCAGTCTGACGTCATAACTCTCAGGTCTAGATCAAAAGTAACAGGTAGAGTCAGACCACCAGTGTAACGTACAAGCAGTCTGACGTCATAACTCTCAGGTCTAGATCAAAAGTAACAGGTAGAGTCAGACCACCAGTGTAACGTACTAGCAGTCTGACGTCATAACTCTCAGGTCTAGATCAAAAGTAACAGGTAGAGTCAGACCACCAGTGTAACGTACAAGCAGTCTGACGTCATCACTCTCAGGTCTAGATCAAAAGTAGTAGCGAGGGTCAGACCACAAGTTCAACGTAGTAGCAGTCTGACGTCATCACTCTCAGGTCTAGATCAAAAGTAGCAGGTTGAGTCAGACCACCAGTGCAACGTACTAGCAGTCTGACGTCATCACTCTCAGATCTAGATCAAAAGTAGTAGCGAGGGTCAGACCACCAGTGCAACGTACTAGCAGTTTGACGTCACCACTCTCAGGTCTAGATCATAAGTAGTAAAAAGTGTGAGACCACCAGTTGAACGTAGTAGTAGTCTGACGTCATCACTCTCATGTCTAAATCATAAGTAGAAGAAAGTGTGAGATCACCAGTGGAACGTTGAAGCATTTAGTTTAGTGAATGTCTGCCTGTTCCGGTCATAGCTTTATCAACTGTGTCCTATGGTATGATTCCACTGATGGAACGTAGTTTAAGTTAGCCTATCGTAACCACTATCTAGTCTGCATCAGTGCCAATATGACTGCTTGGTGCTCTCAGACATAAGCAATGTGTATGTTGACAGAATGATTCAGCAGGATATAAATTTTGTAAGCGATTTTTTGCCAATCAAAATTCTAGAAATAGATACATAGTTGTGAAATCGGAATTAAAGTCAGGTTTCTTCAAATATCTAGCCTAAATCAATAGGAACCTATCGGAAATAAAAGCACAATAAATTCGTACAGTAGATAGAATCGTGAGTTAATGCAGCTGTAAGTGTTGTAATTATAGAAGTTATTTCATACTAGTTATAGCATATAGTGTAAGTATGTATCATATGTCGCGTAACTCGCGAAATCAAGTTTTAGTGAAACAAAATACTAATTGATTTTCAATTAACGTAGCGTTGCAGAGTTCCGCACTGGCTCTGGAATTCATTGGTTGTGTCTTGTAAGGTCAGTGTCGGCTATGTATCAATGGGATTGACTTATAAGCTTAGCGTTAGCTTTGCATTGGTAGTTCAGACTTGGCTAGGCATATTGGGTACAGCGCATTGGCAAAGAGTTGAAAGTCAACCTTTGTCTTGGTAGCCATTGTCAATGCAACCTTGAGAGTGAATATTGATTTCCGAATTGCTTATCATTTGGGAGTTAAGTGTAAGCTTCTCGTTGAAAATCCAGCATTGATCTTAGCTTGAGAACTTGATGATTGCTGTGTCTTGTTAAGTCAGCACGAACTGTAGATGGATAGCGCAGCGCATTCACTGTGACTTCGTTCAGCTTTCGTTGCCACTTACAAGTTCAGAATTGACAATAACTTAAAATATACAGAATGTATTGTGACTTGTTAGTTCATCATTGACTGTGACTCGTATATCAATCATTGGCTGTGACTTGTAAGTCCAGCATTGAATGTGACTTGTTAGTTCAACAGTAATTAAAGTACGAAGTTCGGCATTAAATGTTACTTGGTAGTGCAACATTGATTATATCTTGTAAGATCACCAGTAATTGTGGTGTGCAAGTTCGGCATTTGATGTGACTTGTTAGTGCACATTGATTATATCTTGTAAGGTCAGCAGTAATTATAGTGTGCAAGTTCAGCATTTAATGTGACTTGTTAGTTCAACAGTAATTAAAGTACGAAGTTCGGCATTAAAGATTACTTTGTAATGCAACATTGATTATATCTTGTAAGGTCAGCAGTAATTATAATGTGCAAGTTCGGCATTTAATGTGACTTCTTAGTGCACATTGATTGTATCATGTAAGGTCAGCAGTAATTATAGTGTGCAAGATCGGCATTTAATGTGACTTGTTAGTGCACATTGATTATATCTTGTAAGGTC